AGCTTGTAAGTCAAATATATAGATGACCAGAGCTTATAAGTACACTTCAGACTGCACCAGGCGCCACCAGGGCACCAAAGTACAAGTTAGATGACCAGAGCTAGTAAGTCTAAGTTAGATGACCAGAGCTAGTAATTACACTTCAGACTGCACCAGACGCCACCAGGGCACCAAAATACAAGTTAGATGACCAGAGCTTGTAAGTACACTTCAGACTGCACCAGGCGCCACCAGGGCACTAAAGTACAAGTTAGATGACCAGAGCTAGTAAGTCCAAGTTAGATGACCAGAGCTAGTAATTACACTTCAGACTGCACCAGACGCCACCAGGGCACCAAAGTACAAGTTAGATTACCAGAGCTAGTAAGTACACTTCAAACTGCACCAGGCGCCACCAAGGCACCAAATTACAAGTTAGATGACCAGAGCTAGTAAGTACACTTCAGACTGCACCAGGCGCCACCAAGGCACCAAATTACAAGTTAGATGACAGCGCTTGTAAGTACACTTCAGACTGCACCAGGCGACACCAGGGCACCAAAGCACAAGTTAGATGACCAGAGCTTGTAAGTCCAAGTTAGTTGACCAGAGCTTGTTAGTACACTTCAGACTGCACCAGGCGCCAACAGGTCCCCAAAGTACAAGTTAGATGATCAGAGCTTGTAAGTACATTTCAGACTGCACCAAGCGCCACCAGGGCACAAAAGTACAAGTTAGATGACCAGAGCTAGTAAGTACACTTCAGACTGCACCAGGCGACACCAGGGCACCAAAGTACAAGTTAGATGACCAGAGCTTGTAAGTCCAAGTTAGTTGACCAGAGCTTGTTAGTACACTTCAGACTGCACCAGGCGCCAACAGGTCACCAAAGTACAAGTTAGATGATCAGAGCTAGTAAGTACAAGTTAGATGACCAGAGCTTGTTAGTACACTTCAGACTGCACCAGGCGCCAACAGGTCCCCAAAGTACAAGTTAGATGATCAGAGCTTGTAAGTACATTTCAGACTGCACCAAGCGCCACCAGGGCACAAAAGTACAAGTTAGATGACCAGAGCTAGTAAGTACACTTCAGACTGCACCAGGCGACACCAGGGCACCAAAGTACAAGTTAGATGACCAGAGCTTGTAAGTCCAAGTTAGTTGACCAGAGCTTGTTAGTACACTTCAGACTGCACCAGGCGCCAACAGGTCACCAAAGTACAAGTTAGATGATCAGAGCTAGTAAGTACAAGTTAGATGACCAGAGCTTGTAAGTCCAAGTTAGTTGACCAGAGCTTGTTAGTACACTTCAGACTGCACCAGGCGCCAACAGGTCCCCAAAGTACAAGTTAGATGATCAGAGCTTGTAAGTACATTTCAGACTGCACCAAGCGCCACCAGGGCACAAAAGTACAAGTTAGATGACCAGAGCTAGTAAGTACACTTCAGACTGCACCAGGCGACACCAGGGCACCAAAGTACAAGTTAGATGACCAGAGCTTGTAAGTCCAAGTTAGTTGACCAGAGCTTGTTAGTACACTTCAGACTGCACCAGGCGCCAACAGGTCACCAAAGTACAAGTTAGATGATCAGAGCTAGTAAGTACAAGTTAGATGACCAGAGCTTGTAAGTCCAAGTTAGATGACCAGAACTTGTAAGTCCAAGTTAGATGACCAGAGCTTGTAAGTCCAAGTTAGATGACCAGAGCTTTTAAGTCCAAGCTAGATGACCAGAGCTTGTAAGTCCAAGTTAGATGACCAGAGCTTGTAAGTCCAAGTTAGATGACCAGAGCTTGTAAGTCCAAGTTAGATGACCAGAGCTTGTAAGTCCATTTCGCTTGCTCTCAACGTTTTCATGGAGAAAAATATAGTTTAAACACTCTTTACAGTCGCACACACACACACACGCACTTTCTCTATTTATCTCTCTCTCTCTTTTTCCACCTTCTCTATTGATCAACTTAGTTACCTTGTTTCATAAATTGAAGGGAAGGGCTTCCAGTCCTTAAAATATAAAGTCGATCAAAAGATATGATTTTGTTTATTCAATTTGAAACACTCCATACATTACACTCCACTTAAAGTATGATGGAGATGTATTGTAATGTTGATCTTTACGGTCACATTAATCTTTACGCGCCCCTTGAATATTTAAGAGGAAACTCTGAACGCATTGCCGATTTTCAAAAAATGGGATTGAGAAGCGGAACGGTCTTTTTTTAAAAATGAAAATGATTCGAAAATGTGATATTGAAGGTTTGCATTGATGGCAAGCACCTGAAAACCTTGATAAAAACTACGCATTTATAGAATAAAGAAAGAAATATACATTTTTGTATACGTAGGATTGTTTCCCCCTGTTGTTATGGTTATTGAGTCAGTGTTAATGTTCCCTAGTCTCTAGTCTCTTAGTGAAACGTTGATAGGATGATGAAGGGAATTCTCCTGTAGATATCATTATAGTCTCTCTCTCTGGTTTGAGAAGACTAATTAAAGGTCCTCACATAACCTTGGAAGGTCATTAGCAAAGAAGCCGATATGAATAGTTAAAAATTGTGTCTCAAAGTCTGTCTTAGGAATATCTACAACTGACGCCTTGAATTGCTTTTAAAATTCTAATATACGAGAAATCAAAAAGATTACACTTCGAAAATGCAAACACACAAAATACAGTCTCACACACACACAGGACGCACACAATATGTATATCTTTTATTGTATGACAAAGACCCTGAAACCGAATCTCTAGATTTTGTAACAAGGTGCTGCCCGAATGTCCAAAATAATTGTCTTTGTTCTTAAATAACTCTTTTGTAAATGTCCAGTCACTAGTTGGGCCCAACACCCTTGAGTGGCCAAATTGGCGCTTCATCGATCAAATCCAGTATCTACTTGATCAGATAATCAAATCGTTTATTCAGAGGTCAAGACATTTTTGCGCCCCTCCTTGATAGGCGCCGCCGTTTCCCTCATGGGATTCCTCCAAAATTGTACACTGTACTGGCAATTAAATGTGAGAAGACTGCCAACGAAACGTGCTACTTCCATGAGAGATAGCGTGGATGATTGCATTGGGTAAGACTTGGTTCCTCAACACACAATCAATACGTTTCAAAATGACGATAATTAAGTTCCACTTTGTCCTCTGGCATTAGGACTGGTTCCAATTTCATATTAATGCTGACATTTTAATTCGATAATTTTATGTGCATTTCTGTGTGTGTATCAAACAACAAGAACAGTGAAATAACTGAAGAGCTTCTTTCTTCTCTTTTTCATTGGTTAAAATTACATGTGTGTGTGTGTGTGTGTGCGCGCTTGTGTAAAATGTAGATTATTTATTACAATCAATATACATTTTTTAATTAAAACACTGTTTTAAGAAAATATTAGGAGCTATAAATAAATGACTTCATCAACCTTTACATTTAAATGTATTGAGACTCCCCAGACTGTAAGACAGTAAAGGATTGAAATTTTGCAAACAAACTTTCACACAAACATAACTGTCAATTAAATATCTACAAATATTGGAAACTTTACTTGACTGTCCTTTTTTTTTCTTAAAGACAAATACTAAAGCCGAGAGGCTTTTAACGATTTGTAAAGAATAGCACTGTCCTATCGTCCTCATATCTTGACTATGTTACTAACAAAAAAAAGAGAATTACATCCTACGCGTATCCACGTGTCCATCCCGTTGTACGTGTTTATTTAAGATTTAATCTCTGCTGGGTCGTTGGTTTTCCTGGCTGATTAAGGCAACCCATTACAGGCTCTAATAGCTCTAGGGTAAAGGCAAGACTTATACGAATTAGTCCTAGCATACGGAATAAGACATGTGCCGTTAGGTTCTTTTGAGTATTTTCTTAGTCTGTGTTTTTTGTATCTGTAATTCAGTGTTTTATGTAGTAGGCCTTTTGCTTTTTTACTATTTAAATTTAGTGATGTAGCTATGGTTGTTAATCTTATCAAATGTAAAAATTCGTTTGCAATAAATTTCAAGGCTTTTTTTTTTTTTTTTTTTTTTGAGTCTGTTCTAATTTCTTCTTCTATGGCTTCCTTAAGAATGTTTTTTCTAGACAATGTGTCCAACTGGTCTTTGTTTGTTGACAATGATCTTAACAGCAGAATTTAGGATTTTTTTAAAGGCTGTCAGAATGAAAGAACGTGTTTAAATCTCTCTAGCCAGGATTTAGTGTTCTAGTTCGTCTTACTGGTAGGTACTTGGATCAACTTTCTCCGTGGACTTAGTGCCACGACAAATCGGCCAATGAGTCGATGGACTTAGTGCTACGACAAAGAGGCTAATAGGTTGATGGATTTGGTGCCAACTTCAGCCACGACACTAACAGCCCACGTTGGTTACTGACTGACTGTATCTTGCAGCTTACTACACTACGCCCCAGTGACACATATCTACAAGAGAACGTGTCCTCTGAACACTTCCTTATATGGTCAATGTCGCCTCATATCAAATTATACTTCATACTAGATGTCAGAAACTAATTTTAAAAAAAAAAATACTTACGCTAGTAATAATTGCTTTAAAAAAAAGACTGATTAGATCTAAATCCTCAAAGGAAATAAAATTGTTGAAATGAAAAAAAAAATTAATTTGCTGAGAATTTGCAGACGTATAACTCTTGTATTTGTCAAACTAAGACTTGATAAAAATAAAACATTATCTATAGTATATCGGATTATACAATTACAAACGAATACAATATCGAAAATTTGAAACATTGAAAGTTTCGTGACCAAGTTTTTGAGTAATGCTATCTCTCTTGAAATTTATCCCTATTGAATTTCTTTTTTTTTTCATTGCCCAGCCTCTGGAAGTATTAAGTCTCCAGTTCAAATGAATTTTATAATTAGAGTATTTTTATGTTTAATCTGGCACGGTCACAACTAACATTTTACTGCAGCACTAAAAAATCTCTTGTAATGAAAAACTAGCCTTGGGAATAGAATTCTGTTTTACATTAAGACTACAAATAACTTATAAGTAAATAAATGGATTTATATTTCATCCGTTTATTTCTACTCTTTCTAAATACAATGGTGTTTATAGATGAAACATCTGAACAAAACATAAAATACAACTAAAACCATTAGATTAGACCAAGATTCTGATAGATACATAATATCATGTTTGAAATAAATCTAAATTCTATAATATATTTGCTATTTCAAATAAAGCCAATTTTATTTAAGCAAAATAAAAGATGTAATATTTAATTACACAGAAATAAAACTAGAACACACATGAACAATTCCTTTAGGAGTCCATGTAAATGGGAGATATAAACCTACCAAAAAGCAACATATTTTTGTAACTCGTTTCTTTCTTTTTCAATTGTCATCTTATGATTATTCCATAGATGCACATGAAATCATATATGGAAAAATCAATAGTTAAAAGAAACCCTGCGAGAGGAAAGATAGTGAGGTAAAATGTAAAAGAAAAAAGTCCATTATGTAACAGAAGCTATTTAAAATTGAAAATATTTGACTAATAAGTTATTTAAAACAAAATTGTTTCCTTTGGAATAAACAAAAAAAAAAAAAAGTTTTTTTGTTTACTTGTCTAATCTTACTCAAAGTTGTGACTGTTTCACAAAATAAAAATCATTGTGAAATCACTTACATGTATAAATCCAACACACCAAAATCTTGTTTGTCAGTAAGTAAAAACAGAAAAGTGTTTTTCATCAATTTGGTTGGTTAAATCAATCACATGTCTAATGATAGTCTTAGCACCAATGTGCACAGGATAGAAAAAGTTGTACAGTTCAGGATCTACACTTCTTCACATATTGAAGCTAGTTTAGTTTTCATAGTTAAAAATTGAACATACAACATGACAGGCCCAAAAAAAAAAAAAGAAAGATCATTGTATACAAAAGTAGATGTTTCCAAGTTGCATGTAGTTACATAAACTTAGAGAGAAATAATACTTTAAAAAAATAAAAATGATCAAGATATAAAAATATTGCCAGATAATATTACAAAATAAAATACAAGACTAGTTCAACCAACATTATATATTTTTAGGTACCAAAATAATACATTTTCTTATATCACAAATAAAGATTTAAAAAAACAAAACATCATTAGAGCGAGATTGAGCCCTTCTTAATGTTTAACATTCATTTCAAACTGAATGCACTTCTTCCATGCAACCCACTGAGGAAATCATTCACTTCATTATCTTAAAGTCACTATTTTCTCTTTCAACATTCCCAATGGTCACTCTAATGACTGCATGTCTCATTCATTGATGCTACTGTATCAAAATAATCATGTCTAATCACCATTTGGGTTACAATAATTCATTCATAAGTGAACAATACTAGACATATTCTATTTCATGTCCTGTCCTTAGAGCTAAGAAAAAAGATGCTGCATATGCAGTGCAGTGGCGTAGAAAGGTATGCATGGGCCCGGGTTCACCAATATTTTGGTGGGCCCCTTCCCCCATAAAACAAATTTAGTGTGTGACAAAATTCTAAAAGCCTGTATGTAGACATTCCAATGCAAGTAGTAATAATGTCATTACGTTTGAATCAGCTATTATTCCGTAAATCTAATAGAGTCTTTTAACCATGGCAGCCACAAAAAAAATAATGAAATGATGCTAATCTGCTTTTACTAAAGTGCATTTTTTTTTCACTTTGGCTCATGTGAGTCCTAATTGGTCATGCTCAAGTGCATTGAAACCTTAATGCGTCATTGTTGCTACTCGACGGGCTGTGGTCCCCTAATGGTCGTGGGCCCGGGTTCATTGAACCCCTTCGTGCCAAGGATGCTACGCCACTGCGCATATAATATATGATCAAAATTCAATTATAAAATCAAAATAGTTACCAAATATCTTATTTGAAATTATTGTTATTCTGACTGTAATTAGAGGTCAAACATTCAGAGTTATGGTACAACACTACTATTGCTTCAGACTCATTTCTACAGATATTGTACCATTTTTACAGATCTAGTTTATTAAAGTAAAAAAAAAAAATACATGTTTGCATCAGTGCTGGGGACGGACAAAAAAAAATAAAACTTAGGATAATCAGATATGTCTCATACAGTATATTAGATCTAAAAAGAGTCAGATTCAAGAAAATGTGTCAGTCAACATGCATGGTTTTAAAATTAAATTTTTACAAGTGAAACACCTGACAAGAAAATGTCACAAGCAATATTAAAATGTGCTAGAAGAATTATACTAAATAGTTTTCTCTTTTCCAAGCGCATGTATTTCTTTTAAAATACATGCGAAACATTTTGAGATCTAATTGAAGATAGAAACTGGTTGTCTGAATGTCAAGATTTAACTTTTGGTGAATGAAAGCAGTAACAGTCTTTGACAGTCTGGTTATAAAAATGAAACTGGAAACTTAAGTGTCAGTTTTTCAATGTATGAGCAAAGGTCATACATGTGCCTCAACATTACAGGAATTCAATTATAGGAATGATAGTATTGTTTGAAAAGCTTTCCATTAACAGAATACAACAGGCCAATGTGTTCACTATGCATGCAAGTCCAATAACTTTCATATTTGAGATTAAAATGCATCCAAATTATTAATTCATCTTTTTAAAAGAAGATCAATTCATAAATATAGTAAAACCTTTAATATGACCCAATAAAACTATATCCCTTGCTTTGGAAAAATAAAAAAGCCATATTTATAGAAAACAAAATTTAAAAAAAACAAAACAGAATTGTCTTTAATGTTTTTAACATTGAAAACATTTTTAAACTAATATATAGATACAAAAGTGAACAGAGGTTATCCATATCTGAGAATACATATTTAATAAAAATATATCAAAGAAAAATTGTATAGAACACAAGCTTATTGAGCAATTATCAATATAAAGAATTAGGAAATTATTTATGATACAGCTATAAAGTTTCAAAAGCAGTGCTGAACAAAACATTATGTATCATGTAGCTGAACAAAACATCATGTAGCAGTGCTCAACAAAACATTGTATACCATGCAGTCGTGTTGAACAAGACATAGTATACCATGTAGCAGTGCTGAACAAGACATAGTATACCATGTAGCAGTGCTGAACAAGACATCATATACCATGTAGCAGTGCTGAACAAGACATCATATACCATGTAGCAGTGCTGAACAAGACATCATATACCATGTAGCAGTGCTGAACAAGACATCTTATACCATGTAGCAGTGCTGAACAAGACATCTTATACCATGTAGCAGTGCTGAACAAGACATTGTATACCATGTAGTAGTCATGAACAAGACATAGTATACCATGTAGCAGTCATGAACAAAAGCATCATATGCTATGTAGCAGTGTTGAAATAAAAAATATATACCTTGAAGCAGAGCCAAACCAAAACATCTCATACCATGTAGAAATACAGACAAAAAACATGTCATGTTTGCAGTGCCCAACCAAAATATAACAAAACAAGTTTGTTTTCAAAGCAAGAATGTTTTCAAAGACAAACATTTATTTCAAGCACAATATGCAAAGCTAAAAGACAAAAAAAGTACAGTATAAATGACACAAAAATTCAAATAGATTTTTTTAAAATTGCTAAAAAAAAACAACAGCAGGGCCAATTTATTTTCTGGATTTCAAAATGACATTAATGCTGAAAAAAAAAGTATAAAAAGCAACCACTGTATAAAATGTAATGATTGTACACAATAGTTTTACTGAAAGGCAGGATTGTCAAGAGAAATATTACAAACTGTGACTGTATCAAACTTTGTACAACTTTACTTTACTTCTGTAGCACAACCAAATACTATAAAGGAATGAAAGCCATGGTGAAAGACAAAGTTGTTTGTAATGTTAATTACTTTTGTTGATTGAACAATGCTATGTAATGCATGATTAGATTATTCAATGTCTTGGATCCATTATTAAAATTATTGAGATTTTTTTTTCCTTACAGATGCTTGATATTTAAACAAATGTAAAATATAATACATAAAACTGATTGATTAATTGCACAAAAAAAGATGACAATGGGAGTTTGAATAATACAAATTCAAAGGCAGCCATAAACAGGTTAATGACACCTACTACATTATACAAACAAGTTCACATGTAAATCACATTAACCTAGTGACATTAAAGTAACCTAAACCAACATGAGACAATAATTAGTAAATGTGGATTATGTGTCACTCTTTTGGGAGTTTCTGATAATTTAGAAACTATATAGCTACTGAATAATGAAGACTGCCTTAATAATCATGTTGTAAAAATGGCTTTTAAATATATAATATTAAGTATTACAATATCAGCATACTTTATTCAAACCAAAGGGTTCACATTTAGAAGAGCAACAGTCCCATTGCAGCTATTTTCAGCACAACAAAGGTGAAGGTCAAGTCCTATTTTCATCTCTAAATGTAATGAACAGTAAAAGTAAAAATATTTTCAAGCTAAAGTTATAAACAAGGACCTTTAACCAATTACAACAACTAGGCAGATAATACAGCATAAAAATAAAATATGAAAAGAATAAATGAAAACCATAAAAGCTACATTAAAAAAAAAAAAATCAACAACCAATTTATAATTATAAAAATAAATTCAAATATCATTTTAAAAAATAGATTCCACTTGCTTGTTATAAAAGTTAGTTTACAGAAGAAGTGAAAAAATTTTTTTTCTTTAACCCAATAGCTCCTAGTTCTGGTTTGGGAAAATCCTTCCCAATTTGTAAGCAAAGAGGGGTAACTCTGAATAATAAAAATCCTAAAAAATAAACATAATGAAAAAATAAAATTTAAGATCTCACACTAAAAAATAAACAAACAACTTTTAAAAATACAATGATATGTCTAGTTCAAAAAAATATATACCTTTAATACCTTTAGAATATTAATAAGCTTCATTTTCCCAAGTGGGGGCTTATACACTGGGGGCTATGGTTCATTTGAAAAATTCTATAAGCAATAAAAAATCTTCCAGATTTTACTAAAAATAGAAGAAGTAATCTCTGAAATGATTTCTAATCACGCTCAAAACAAGACTAGAAGAAATATTTTATTTTAACAGTTTGAAGCAAACATTGAAAAAGGGGATCTTAGAAAAATTTTACGCAGGTTAAGACTAAAACGAGAAAACGTTCCCTGACTGCAAAAGGAGCTAAAGGGTTAAACAATGGACAGTAAAAAAAAATGTATAGTGAAAAATGTCTTTTAAACAAGATCTAAAAATAAAGAATCAATTAAAAACTTCTTTTTGAGTTTAAAACTTAATATTTCAACATATGAAATGTTGACTGATACATTATCATAAGATCTTGTACATTTCGTACATGTACTGTAAAACCCAAGATGCATGAAAGGATTTATCAAGGCACATGTGTCAAACACAAAGTCAACATTAAAACAATTGAATTACCCATGTAAAATGTGTAAGCATTGCAAGCTTGTAAAGACATCATGCGATGCTTATACATGTAGATAATGCTTAACTAGCTGGTTGCTGTTCTGGGACTGCCTCAATTCTGAAAACGTTTATTTGAAAATGCCATTATAATTTTTAGAAAATCATTACAAAGAAGAAAATAATTTGAATTTTTAAGCATAGAAGTAACGAGCAGTGTTTCCCAAACCGTGTTCCGTGGAACCCTAGTGTTCAGCAAGGACTAAATAAGTATTCCACTAACTAAAGAAATATGCAAAGTGTTCTGCTAAATACTCAGAAAATATGAAGTGATTCATCCCCCAAAAAAGTTTGAGAAACACAGCATTAGAGTGGCACTAAAGTTGCTAAAGCTTTAATATTTTAATCAATTTAAATTAGCTCAAAATTCAAAATCAAACAGAAATATTTCATTTAAACCTATGTTATTTTACATCAAGTAATATCCAGAACAAAGTCTAAGCTGACAATCCTG